CAGATATGTCAAGGGTCAATATGGAAATGTGTCAACATAATTTATCAGAGTAAAGCCAAAAAGGATCACAAATTGAAGGAGCCCTGGTAATGTAATTGTCATATATTGGGCTGATTTCCGCATAATTGGCAGTTTGAAACTGGGCTTTCTACTGTAAACAGTTATCATCTAGGAAACCCAAAGAAGGTCACTGTCAGTGAGCATTGACTGAATAGCAGTGAGTTTGGTTTTGGTGGACTCACCGTATTAGAGGGTGTGTTTGAAATCACTTACTTAGTTTCCTTGGGGGTGTGGTCTCAACATTATCCATCATCTTTGATAGCTATGTTAAAATAAGAACTACATTCCTATTTAAGCTGTTCCCTTTAAGAAAAGCGTCCAGCTGTCTACTCCATTAAGAAACCAGGAGGCTAGTGTCACAAAACTAGTGGAGACTAAAGCTAGCTGAAAAAACATGCAGAAGTGATTAGCATGTCTACTTAACATTTGGCAACACATGGCAAAAGTCATACTTCCATAAAAATGCCCTCATGGGCAGGATGTTTTCTTTGTGACCACCTCTGTCCAACCCATAATAGGCAGAGGACTGAGTGACCCAGTGATGAACATCAATCAAACACCAGTTACCCTAATAAAACAGCCCCACCTCAGAACTGGGGTAACTATCTTGGTCACTTCAATCCCTTTGTTCTGTGCTTGGCTAACCAAGTGGGAACTTCCCCTTTCGCATTTGGGCATTGTGTCTCTGTAGCTGTGGCTTTGGCAAGATTCAAGGTCTTCCACTGAATCCTGTGTCTGGCTCCCCTCCAACCAACCTCTTGGACTTGGGACTTGATCTGGTGGCCTATCAATTGAACTTATTTACCAACATCCCTTTCCTTGTGAGTCCACAGCTTAATAGGACATGATTGAGGAGAATCCTGCACACTGATATCTGAACTACAGATCTGAGACTGCATAACACCCACAGCTGTGTGAGCCATTGCTTTGATGGTCCATGAGTTCTTTGAGATATAATGAATTGCAGAACTTTAGGACAAGGGAAAGAATATTCAGAAGTGGAGTGTTGGTTGATATCACATACGATGGAGTAGTATGGCATTTTGGAAAAGTTAGACATTTAGGATATCTTTAGTGTACAACTCATAGGCACCAATCTTGTGCAGATCCTTCTAACATTTTCTTTGGACAGGCTTAAGAGTGTACTTAAAATTAGACAGTTCTATTATCTGTCAGATCAATGAAACCAAGTTACTTTTTAACTTTCAGGAACAGTATACCGAAGAAAGTGATAAAGAAAGTTACAATTTCATTAATGCATGACTTGTGAGTCTTAAATGGGTTTGTGTCGGGGACCATGGGCCCCAACAGCCAAGATCTCATAAACAGGCTTTATTCTCAGCCTCAGGCCGGGGTGGAGACTTTCCATTTCCTTTTGCTGCCTTACAGAAAAGTCCAAATGGCCTTAACCTTTTCCCTTATTTGTATTGGCTAACAAGCACCCTGTTAGCACATGTGCTGTTTCACCTAATTAGCATAAGGTGATGTCGTTCCCACGGACCTGATCGAAAACCGCTGACCGCTGGCGCTGGGTGCGCTTTTGTAAGTTTTCTGATTGGGCGTTATCAGTAGTAACCTGATTTGCATGTCCCGCGGGCACTCCCATCCTTTTTGCCTTTATAAGCTGCGGCTTGTGGAAAAATAAAGAGAGAACTGCTCAGCCTCCTGTCTCGTCTCCGTTCTTCACGTCCTGCTTCCTCGACCCAGGACCCACGTTGCTGTTCCCGCTGGATGGGACAGTTTGAATGGTTGCTACTTTTTAAAGTCTGGCCTAAACCCATGTAGCTATGTCGTTTAGAATGGTGCATGGCAAGAATAAAAGTTTCATTAATTACTCTTACATAAATGTCAGGTTTGGAGAAAAAGGGTTGACATGGTGAGATAGTGTAGGAAAGCCAGAAATAATGAGTTCACACAACTATTTATTTCTGTATTGATTTCTGTTTGGAGAAACAGATGCAAAACTATTAACCCTCAGCTTAATTCACTCTTTTTTACCTATTCTGAAGCAACAGGATGGATCTCTGGACCACTGCTACTGAGGCTATCAGGAGAGGGCAAAAGGGCATACTGCAGAGGGAAGGGTTTCTTCTCCTGGTCCAAGGACTTTTCAGTTAGTAGTCATTGTGCTCCTTTTGTCCATTGTCAAAGGTGCCCTGCCCAGGGCTTGTCATGCTCCCCTAAGCTGCACCATGAGTCCCAGTGTCCTGGCTCCACCTGAACATTTACCCTCAGCCTCTTCCAGCTGCACCCAAGAGGTTGTTTCCCTGCATACTTCATCTTTGCACATACACACTGCCCCTGATACAGCGCTGCTGGTGAGCTAGTGAGCTGCTGAGCTGGCTCTCTGCCTTCCATCCATGCACACTCTCTGCCAGCATGGGTCTGTCAACATTCTGGGGACACTGCTCCTGCTTCCTGAGCACACGTGGCAGTTCCTGCAGGGCTATGGCACCCCTCCATTGTGATGTGATTTTTTTGCTTTGGAGAAGGGTCTCCCATTTCAAGTTCCTCTTTTGGTTACTCTTCCCCAGTCACAAAATAGTTTAAACCCTTGATTGAAGTATAATTTATAAACAATAAATTGCTTATATTTAATCAGAGTATCTCTCTCTCTTTCGCTCCACCCATCCCACACCCTCTCTGTGACTGTGTTCTAGTACTCTTTTAACTTTATCATGCTTTTCAACAAGAAGTGTAAATCCTTTTCCACCTACCAAATGGAGCAGGGAATTTGATTAAATTTTCATTTGTTTTTCATCGTTCTCTTTTGTTTCCACAATTCACCTACCATTTTAATAATGACAGTTCATTCTTGTTGAGGGTGTTTAATGGTCTAGAATAAAGTGTGCAAGATCACTGACTTAGTTGCAGAGCAATTATCAAATGTCTGTATTCCTTTTTTTATAACTACTATTGAGCTTCTGCATCTCTCGCTTTGATATTTCTGTGTCCCCTCTACAGAAACCGAACTCCGCCCAGTGCAAAGCCAGTGTTCCTCAAGGGCTGCGCATGTTTTCCTCCTGCTTTCAAAGCAGGGGGTAGCCGGGACCTCATTGCATCTGAATAGCAGCTCTGACCTCTAGAGACCCAGGGTCCAGAGTCCGCTCTGTGCAGAAGGGTAAGTCGATTTATCGCCTGGAATGAACTTTGTAAAAGAGAAAATTCCCCAGAGGCTGAAGGACTAGTCTTGGACAATTGATTAGTGTTATTTGGTCAGGATCATTTAAGAAATTGCATTTGGGCAAATACATTCTTATATTATTTCATTTAAAAACCTGATACTCTTTTCTCAATTTATATTTGGCTCTTCCAGAGAAAATGCATTTCATGTACGGGCATAAAAGAGATTGATTCTACGGTTAATGTAGATGACAGTTATTTTCCTGAGTAACTTTCAGCTCACATGGAAGCTACTTCGAAATGATGTGCAGTTTTTTATTAACCATGTTTTGAAATTTATCCTGCTAGTTTTAGGGATGCATGGAGATGTGATATTTTATAATTGGAAACATTCTGATACAATATTTAATTTGATTCTAGACAGGCACCTCCCTTGCTTTACATTTTCATCCAGCTCTGTCTTTGTTTCTAAGTCCTGCCTACTGAGGCTGATTAGAAATAGTGCACCATCCATAGACAGAAAACATTATTAGGTTTTATTGCCCTGAGTGACGCAGATCTATAGCCAATAACAATGGACTCGTGTTAAATTATGGAGTTATGTGTTCCAAGCAAGTCTAGAGTGGAAGTTCTGATCATGACCTGCTTTCTGCCTTTCCTGAGTCCTCAGTCTTGATGGTCTTCTCTGAGTTCATTAGTTGACCGGGGTTGTCTCCCATTGCGGTCCGATGGAGATCAACTCTGGGTGGAACAGCTTCTGCACATAGCCCTCCAGCGCAAAGGAAGGTAGGTGAAGGACAGAATCAACCCATTTCCTTATCAAGGGGAAAAACTGGGGACATTGAAGATAATAAAGTGGCCTGGGGAAAAAGATGGGTTGTTCATACACCCCCACAATGACTGCAGAGACTCTAGAGTGTGGAGTCTCAGACAACAGCACAGCATGAAATCTGGGGAGCTGGGGTACCAGAATGCACATAACTGAAAAGAGGAGAGTACAATGTAGAGGACCAATCAATAACAGAAGACCTGCAAGAAAACCAGCCTATGATGGGAGATCTACCGTTAGCAGAATGTAAAGCCCAGCTTTAAATTTTGCCAGGCCTTGTAGACACGCTAAGGGCTAAGGGTCCTTTGAATTTCTTTTTCAAAATGTTCCTTTCTGTGCCAACCTTTTTTCTGACTTGTGTCTGAATTTTGGCCCTCACCTAAATAAAATCTTTCTTGCTAACAGAACAAAAACCAAGGAGTTGAGAGGCTTGAAAATTTGAGCCTCTTCTTGGTAACAGCAACCCCAAAGAACAGAGTAAAACTGCACCATAGTTGTTCCAAATTAATGGTCTTTACGGAAGCAGGCTGCCCCATCTGTCTTCCTCATGAAGCAGCCAAGAGCTTAAACACTGTGCCACAGCTCCTTCATTGACATCATGGTTCTATTTTTATTTAAAATACTTTCCATAAGTTCCTATTCCTAAATTGTATGATATTTTCTCTACCTTCCATATCATGGTGGGAATGGTAAACAGTTTAATAGATAATATGGTTCCTCTCTTTACTGAAGTCTTTTGATTTTCATATTCTAAGTACACATGAAATTCAAGTCTCTTTGGTTAACATATATGATTACTTGACTCCAGCTCCGAGATAATGAGTTATCTGAGGGTAGAGTAACATTACCTGAACTCCACATTAGTGTTTTTCTGTTTTATTACCTTCTGACTTACAAGGTCCATTTCCTAGTAAGTACTCATTGAAGTCCATTCTGCTTTCTCTCTTCTTGTATCTTTTGGTTTTGTTTTGTTTATGAGTTTAATGTTTTATTTTCCCTCCAAAACTAAACGTAATCTGGTCCACATTTTCCTCATGGCATTTTTCACTTCCTTGTTCCTGGAAGTATAAATCAAAGGATTGAGCAGGGGAGATAGGATGGTGAAAAACAGGGCCACCATCTTGTCAAAGGAGAATGAAGCTGGAGGTCGTGCATACGTAAGAATGCAAGGGACAAAGAACAACACCACAACAGCAATGTGCGAACCACATGTGGAGAGAGCTTTCCTCTGACCTTCAGAGCTATGAGTTCGCAGTGCCACTAGGATGACACCATAGGAGGTAAGCAACAAGAAGAAGATTATGAGGCAGATAAACCCACTGTTGGCCACCACAAAAAGGCCAAGGATATGAGTGTCAGTGCAGGCAAGCTCCAATAAAGGGTATAAATCACATAAAAAGTGATCAATGACGTTGGGGCCGCAGAAGGGCAGCTGGCAAGTGAAGAGAATTTGTATCACAGAGTGCAAGAAGCCCCCAGTCCAGGCCACCCCCATCAGGATGCCACAGAGCCTCCAGTTCATGATAGAGGGGTAGTGCAGGGGCTTGCAAATAGCCACATAGCGGTCATAGGCCATGGCAGTGAGGACAATCACCTCCACTCCAGCAAAGAAGTGTTCAGCAAAGAGTTGGGTCATGCAGCCCGCAAAGGAGATGGTTTTCTTCTCATAAAGTGTGTCTACTACCATCTTTGGGGCAAAGGCAGAGGAGAAGCATGTATCCAGGAAGGACAGGAAAGCCAGAAAGAAGTACATGGGGGAGCCCAGGAGTGCTGGACTGCTGACAATGGTCACAACGATGAGCAAATTGACCCCAACAGTTGCAATGTAGCTGAACAAAAATACAACAAATAAGACTTTCTGAACATTTGGATTCTGTGAAAGTCCCAAAAGGATGAACTCAGTCACAACACTTTGGTTTTGCATGTCTTCAGAGGAAAAAGTGGAAGCTACCACAATGACCATGTAGATTCTGAAATTACGAAAAGAGAGAGAGATTTGACTCAGAGGAGCTTTGCTGTTCGCACAGACTGGTGCCTTCACAAACAAACGGCGTCTGTAGTTATTGAAAACTCAAAGTTAGGAATGTATTGTTGGTAGCCGAGCGATACCAATGAATATGGAGGTAAAACACTTAAAAGTAGAATTTCAATGTAGGTGGTGAAAACACTCATATGGGGTAAGAATGAGAAATAGTTTTTATCTAAGGTGTCCACCCTAATTAGGCAGTAGTAGCTACCTAGAGTGAATTGGTAAAGATACTGAAGAACATCCGAGCTCTAGGAAAGGAGGACTGAAGTGCATTATTTATGCCTCTTGTTGGCTTGGTATTGAGCCCAGAGGATTGCATGGTAATGTATCTCTCATCAGGAGACTGCCTTATCTATAAACAGAAGGATATAACATGCAGTTCAAGAGCAACTTAAAAGTGGTACTTATTCCTCCAAATAGTGTTTAGAAGTATGAGCTGAATTAAATTATTTCATACACAAGACAAAAGTCTATCGAAAAGTGCCTAGCTCCAAGACTACCAAATATTAAGAACCCATTAATGTTAGGTTTCTTGCTTTTTTAATTAACCATTTTAAAAGGAAAACAGAAGTTGATAAAAATATGAACAGCTACTTCAGTGTGGGGCTGATGACTCAGTGAAATATATCAAGGAAATTAATTGCTTAATGTCTATGATCTAGGATACAATCCATGATACGTCTATTTATCCCTGTTTTAGCAGTAGCAAACTCATGCTTCGAGAGGTTAAGTTAGACAATTTACAAGAGGAATATATAGGATTTACTGACTTCAAAATCCAAGTCCATCCCCCTGGATAAATATAAAGATGGCCAAGACAGTGGCTTTTGCAAGGAGGACTCCATAGCAAGAATGGCCTTTCCCTGCCTCTAACACTCTTGATTCAAACCTTCAGATTTCTTTGTTCACGTGTAATGAGACACCTCAGGGAAAGAAACTGCAAGTGATTTACTGTCAGATGAAAGCAATTAACATCACTACCTTGGTAAGGAATAGAAACAACATACTAGAACATACCAGAAACAAATAACCAGTTTAAGGCTTTAGGTATTTTTAACCAAATATTTTATAATATGGCCAATATAATCAACTACAGCTTCTCTCTCTCTCTCTCTCTCTCTCTCTCTCTCTCTCTATATATATATATATATATATATATATATATACATATACATATAAAACTTTATTCGATTAATTCTGATATAGCCTACATGTCCATCTCACAAGATTATGTTGCGGGCCAATTTTGAAAATAAAATAATTTTGTTTATGATTAAAAAAACTGTTGAAAACTATGCTTATTATTATCTCACTTAATAAGCTAGATATTTCACCTGCACAAGGAATTTCCAGGAGTCCACCAGATAATTACTTTAACTTTTAACTTCATTTCCCACAGGTAGACGCTAGCTTTGAAAGGTGACTGTGTCTTTACCTGGACATATAACAGAAAGAGCCCAGTTATGTAATTATGTGTTTGCATAATTACGTGTTTGCTAAAGGAGTGAACTAAATCACTTGAAAACCAAACTCATATCTAATTAGTTGATTCTAACCCATTGTGAGCTTTATAGACAGAATAGAATTGCCGTTGTGGGTACCCCTGACTGTCACTCTTTATGGGAATAAAAATCTTCCTCTCTCTTCTGAGCAATCACTGGTGGTTTTCCATTGCTGACCTGGTGGTGAGCAGCCCAACACACAACCACTACACCACCAGGGTTCCTGGAATGAAAGAATCATGGAGTTTATTCTAAGTATTATCTAATCAATTCTAATCCAGTTAGAATTACCAAATAAAACTAATATCTATATAACTGTAAAGAATAACGTCTTCTGTTTGCTTGCTTTAAAACAATCATTTCTTTATGCTATGTAGTCTTAAATTATGCCCAGAAAAGAAAAGTTTGTCAACCATCATTGGTTAGAAAAATAAATACTATTAAAATAGAATACAAAAATTGTCAGGTTAGCTTAGGGCAAAAGCAGGAGAGAAAATGAAGAGAAATGAGTAAGAACATCAAGTCGAGACTCATACAAGATTCAGTTCAAAGCCAACCTCTTCTACATAGTGATGTGTCATGGGGTATGTTACTAAAAATCCTTAGCTTCCACTTCTGGAAAGTGACTAGAATCTATTAATACAATTAGATAATTCAATACACATTAAAAAAATAAAACCTACAGTAGAGACCAATTTTCCAGACTACTACTGACACAGAGAAGTATAGTTCACATATGCATTTACTCTTCATTCCTACTTTCCCATAAAAAGGGTTGAAAATTGCATTTTACTGATAAGTTCTTCTACTCATCCCTTTAAAATTAATAAATGTAGGCTATTTTATTTGGTCACAGCATACATGTGCTAATTTTTAAAAAGCATATCACTTTGAAATGACTTTGTCAATTCTTAGTAATTCTCACACCCACATGTGTCCCCCTCAACTGTAGGTAGTTGGTTTGTACAAAGAATATCAAATTGACTCTATATTAATGTTCAAGGCTCTAACACATCTCTGGTAACATGATCTGAAAAGATTTGGACTGTTAATAGCAAGGTCAGTGCCTCTGAGAGTGTCCATAGTGAAAGCCTCAGAAACCATATATGATAGTCACTCTGAGTCAAAATCACTTCATCACAATAGGTTGGGATTTGGGGAGTCCAGCAAGACAGTTATTATGAGAGTGGTGCAAGGAATATAAATAAGAACCAAAACATGTAACCTAAGATAGACCCCAGTATTAAACTTGGTTGTCTCACCTCAATACTCACACTTTTAAGCACTACATTACACTTTGGAAACCCCTCAGAAAATGAAAAAAAAATATGAATGGTGAATCTCACCATTTATCATTTCCTTGGAAATTCTTGTGATGGGAATTTAGTCTTCTTTATTGAAAAGAACATATTGATTGGGTTGATGTAAATAGAATCTTTCTTCCAAGACTTCACTCTCCATCTAAGAGAGAGAAAGTCTAACAGGCACCCAACGTGGTAAACATTCTCCACTGTTTCTCAAGTGCCGCATCCAACATGGTCTTGGGGAACAAAGAGAAAAGAGGCAAATGCTTCCTCCGTTACTTCCAGCTGGAATTTAAGAAGTTTCCCTGAGAGGTCATGAATCTGCGGAACTGTCTCTCAGGTGTCCCCAGGGCTTGACATTTCCCCATCAGTATGATTCTCCAAGACGCAGTTTTATGTTGTTTGACTTGCTTAATTGTTGGCAAAACATTCATGTCTGTGAACATCAAAGGGTTTTTTGTTTTGTTTTAATTAACCATTTTAAAGGAAAAGAGGCTGGTAAAAATAATAGCTACTTGAGGGTGTTCGTCTGGTGACTAAATGATATTTTTTGGGTGTGTTTTAATTTTCTTTTTCTTTTTTTTTAAATCATTTTATTGGGGCCTCATACAACTCTTTAAAAAAGTTTTAATTACTTTATTGGGGGCTCATACAACTCTTATCACAATCCATACGTACATCAATTGTGTAAAGCACATTTGCACACTCGTTGCCCTCATCATTCTCAAAACATTTGCTCTGCACTGAAGCCCCTGGAGTCAGTTCCCCATTTTCCTCCTCCCTACCCACTCCCCACTCCCTCAGGAACCCTTGATCATTTATAATTTATTATTTTTTCATAACTTACATTGTCCAAAAAGTGGGTCTCCCTTCACCCACTTTTCTGTTGTCTGTCCCCCAGGGAGGAGGTTATATGTAGATCCCTGTAATTGGTTCCCCCTTTCCTCTCACCCTGCCCTCACCCTACCAATATCACCATTCTCACCACTGATCCTGAAGGGGTCAACTTAATAGGCAGAGAACATTAAGTTACCTTATGATAAACACCAATTAATGCTAGTTATCCTAACAAAAGACTATTAGCGCAAGAAGCGAAGAAAAATCAATGCATTTGAATTATGGTGGTGAAGGATTTTGAAAATACCACAGACTGTAAGAACAAACGAATCAATTTTGGAAGACGTATAGCCACAATGTCATTAAGAGGCTAGAATGGAATGTAGTCTCATGTACTTTGGCCATGTTATCAGAGGAGCCCAATCTCTGTAGAAGGACGTCATGCTCTCTAATGGAGAGAGAGAGAGAGAGAGAGAGAGAGAGAGAGAGAGAGTAAAGAGGAAGACCACGGGCAAGATGGATTGTCGTAGTGGCTGCAGCATGGGCTCCGGCATAGGAACCAGTTGAAGACCGGGTGGTCTTAGGTTCTGTTGCAGACAGTTGCTCTGAGAAACAACTGGCTTGATGGCACCTAAGATCAACAGCAGCGCAGAAAAGGGACAATCGTCTTGATCACTTGTCTGAATGCCCCGCTTGGGGAGGGGGTCTTTTATTTCAAGTTTCATCTTTGATTACTCTTCCTCAGTCATGAATTACATTACCACCTTTAAAAAATATCATTGACAAACAATAAAAGTGTATGTGAAAGGGAAAGAAATTGTCTGATCGTAATCAACGTAGAACTCCGTTTCTGTCTTCAACAACTCACTGCCATTGAGTCACTGCTGAATCATAGCGACACGCTGTGGGCTTCTGAGACAGTAACTGCTTACTGGAGTAGAAAGCTCAGTCTTTCTCCCTTGGAGCTGTTGATGGTTTGGAACTGCCGACCGTTCCATTGCAGCCCAACGTGTAACCAGTATACCACCATGGCTCTGAGCTCCTTTAATTCTCCAAACCTTTCAAGAGTCCTATATAACTTACCGAAAGGACCACAAAATGCTTAAATTATCATTTGTTTTATTTTTCTTTTGTTTTCTACAACCCAGATACCTATTGCAATAATGACAGCTCATTGTTATTGTGGACGGTTAATAGTCCTGGAGAAAGTGGGGCAGCAGGTCACTGACTTAGTTGTGAATCACCTCGCAAACAGCTATATTATTATTTTTTCATTATTTAGTTTGGGTCTGTCTCTCTTTCTCGCTCTTTGATTTTGTGTGCTTGT